AACAGGGGTGCGTGTGACTGGCAGGTGTGCGCCTTCCTCTACCCGCCTCCCCGGATGCGCACTCCGAGGCGATCGCATCCGTCCATCGGCTAAAAGATCAGTCGGCAGAGAACCCCGGGCAGAGACACCCCAGCTAGTCGGCCGGTCCAAGCTGCACCGACAGACAGACAGACAGACACCACCACTGCGCCTTGGCTCTGGCTCTCTACAGAAGAGACCGACATGGGTGCCCACCAAGCTGCCCCAAGAGCTCACTAGGAAAAGACCCAGACAGACAGGCAGACAGACAGACAGACAGACAGACAGAGGTTGTAGTCACCGCCATGCTGTAGTTCTGACTGACTTACGCTGGCGCTGTCTTTTTCTTTCCTGCTCTTTTCTTGCTGCTGTGAGTCTCACCACAGTTTGCTGGTCTCCCCGACGGCTCGCCCGCTTTTCCCGTCTCTTCCCGAGCCCAGGGTGTGCTGTGCTGGGCCCCTTCGCTCAGGTTAGGGATCAATAGGGTAAGATCCTGGCCTTGGGGAAAGCCAGGGCCTCACTCAGGTTGAAATTAGATTCAAGAGAGTCATGTGTGTGGGTTTTTGCTCTCTTTTGTTGTTGTTGTTTTTCTTATTTACAAGAGCTAAATCAGAGCTGAGACAGAACAGATATTTTATAGGCCGGTCTGGGAAACGGAGGTCTATAAACCCAGAGGGGTTTAGTGAGTGTAATTGCACAAATGAAATCCTAGTTGAGCAACTAATTATGCAAATGCAACAGCTCACCTAACCACTGAATTTCAGCTTTCCCTGGTAACTAGATGGGATTTAAATAGGATGCTAGCCTTGAACCAAAAAACCCAAAAATGCTCAGGAACAGCTCCCAGGCCCTGACTTCAAGGCCCAATACTGGCACAAACCAACAACAACAGAAAAAAAAAAAGATGCAAAAGAGTCTTCAAAATCCCCCTTATAACACTAGCTACCGCTTGCCTAAGGTACCTGAGAACCAGTTTCCCTGCTTGCCTCCCCTCTTCCCTCACATGTTGATTCTATTTAACGTTCAGGATCTGCAGAACCATTGCTCATCTTTCTGACCAAAGATGAAGAAACAGCCTCCAAGCCATGAAATCAGCTGCAGGAAGGTATAGGTATCACAAGGTCACGGGAATCCAGGCCAGGTGAGGCTCAGACCAGCCCGTGGGGAGTGGTGGGCATTTCCAGCGGGCTGAGGTTCAGCATTCCCCATAGAGAGCAGAAGTAGCCAGGGAAAAAGAAAGAAGAGAAAGAGCAGTTGGTAAAATTAGCCAGAAATGACTTAAAATAGGAAGTGAACCCCCACACAAAGCTGCTCCCATCCCCCCCCCTTCTTGGCCTCTAAGTCCTGCCTCAGTGAGGTTCCTGTTCTGTGGTTTGGGCAGCTCAACCACAAGCAGAAAAACCAGTGTTTCGAAATCATTAGATGCGGCGGGGATGGCATGCCGGGAAGTGAGGTACTTAAAGATACAGGTAAGTCACGTGATTACCTTTGCCCTCTAGGCTGCACGGCCTCCTAGATTGAATTGGTGGTGGAGTGACTTCTCTTTCATCATCCAGACACATTACAGACTTACCTCCCGTGTGTATGCACCCAGAAAATAGTGTTCTGGCTTCTCCTAATTGAAATTTCTATATAACCAGAGTAACATGATTCATATATTTAGCTGAGAAATTCTGTGTGTGTGTGTGTGTGTGTGTGTGTGTGTGTGTGTGTGTGTGTGTGCATGCCAATTCTGGGCTTGAAACTTAGGGCTCTAAATTAGCCTTTTCACTTTAGGCTGGTGCTCTACTACTTGAACCACACCTGCACGTCTAGCTTTTTGCTGGTTAATTGGAGGTAAGAGTCTCATGGGAAAACTTCAGCTGGCTTCAAACTGTTATCCTCAGAGCTCATCCTCATGAACAGCCAAGATTACAAGCATGAGCCGTTCACAGCCAGCTGGTGGCAGAGACGTTTTTAATATCCTGTTGCCATATTGAATTTCTTCATTTAAACAGGTCTTAGACCAAGTGCTACATTGATAGGCACAGATCTGTGATGTTATCATTGTTACTTTGTAAAAAAATTTTTTTTTTAAATTAGAGTCTCCTGAGTTTATATTGGGCAGCCTTCTCTCTCTGGCCTTCATACTACACAGCAACAGAAAGATATTTGGCGGCTCAAGAAATAGCCCTGTGGTCAGGTGTCATGGTTGAAGTAGAGATTTCCTGCTTTCAAACACAGTTGCTTGTACATCTCAGGCGATGGGCGCTCTGGACACGGGGTTGAACAGCACTCCGATAACAGTCCCCGTTCTTTTCCATGTGAAGTGCAGGTGTCACTTCATCTGGGGACTCAGACAACTTCGCAGTCTCAGCCACACCACCTGCGGGCCTTCAGACACACTTCACCAGAGGTGTCCTAGCAATGTCACCCTCCCAGTTTGACGGAGACCGTGCCATGCAAGCGAGTCAGACCTCAACTGCTAGGCTCACCCGGCACCTGGGATGTGAGGCTTTTCAAAGCAGTCTTCTTCAGAAGAGGGCATTCTACCTGTAATGGCACAGGTGCTAGAGTTCTGACATTTCTCAGTCCAGAGGGACCACAATAGTCTTCCTTGAGTCGTCTTAGCAAAGCTGAGTGTGCTGACAATCCAGCCCAGGGTCAAATGGAAGACAGAGGGCAAATCTCGTGAGAAATCCCTTCGTAGCCCAAGAGAGAGGCCTGCTCTGCTCTCCCGACACAGTCAATATTGCTACGAGCTCTTGGCACTGAAGGCCATTCCCATTTCCTGTATTACCGCATCTCACCATTCTAGCCAACAAAAACAGAATTAGAAAAACAATTGAGACATCTACCAGGATGTGAAGCAAATGGAATAATAGTGAAGGCAAAACAGATGTTTTAGTGTGGGGGGTAAGGGAGTGTATGTGCTTCTTTGTTACATGGTATCGAGAAATGGCATTCCTTTTATTATTAGTGCAAAAAGTCTTTGTTATTTTATTTGCTCGACTCGATTTTTCTATTCTATAATTGTTATTTCATTTCCTCTTTCTAATGGCAGGTGTAGAGATCACATTTAGAGCCGGCAGTACCACTCACTGGCTGTCTCTATTTTTACCTGCAGGCTTCATTTATCTGAACAAAGGAGGCGCTCTAATTGAAAATGGCCTGTATTTGTCAAAGTATTTATATAAAAAGTCCTTATATAATAACATTTAAGTCTTACTGTAAAGTCTTTCTTCAGAAACCAACATCAACTTTCCACTGCCTTAATCATGATTCTATGTGGAAAGTAATTGTAAATGCCTAGACATATTTAATACAAGCTGATTAGAAAAAAAAAGTTCACTAATTGAAAGATGTACCGTTAGATTTTTAAGGATGTTCTGCATTTTCTAGGTGACAATTTGAATGTATAAAATTTACAAAATATTGAGGCTGAGAATGTGGCTCAGTGGTAGAGTGCTTGTCTAGCATGCATGAGGCCCTGGGTTCAATTCCTTGGTAGCACATAAACAAAAAATAAAGTTTAAAGAAAAAAATTTTAAGAGTTGAAATGAATAGAAACATGGAAAATACATCTCGAAGAGATTCAGTTTCTGTTTCTTCAGGTAGAGGAGCCTGTCCCGTGCTTACTCTCTCAGCACCAACATTTTTATGTCTGACGACTTGAACTCCATCCAGTTAGCTGAGAACTGGAGAGCAATCCACACAGCATTGCTATGGCCCTCTTTGAGTTTGCTGTGTATCATCCACTGTTGGCAATCGTGAAGGTCATTCAAAGCATTGACCTTGAGAAATGGGTCATTGAATTTGCACTTGGAATGCTGGTCGTGGCCATTTTTTACTCTGTTGTTGTTGTTTGGTTTTTAAATATGCCTTTTTAAGTTATTGAAAGTAGGACTGGCCATTGATCTCAGGACCAGAAATCTAGGCTCCCTGCACTAACTGGTTAGAGCACATCCCAGGAGTTCTATAAACAGCACCACTGACTTTGTTTCTCTCTCTAATTGGACCCGGAGAAGGCTGAGCTTGGCCTACTTCTGATGAGTAATCTGAAATGCTTACTTGGACATTGGGCACCAGAGCTTTATTTCCCTAAATCTGAGATGAAGTGAGGGTAGTTTTTAGGGCTTGAATGTGGGGACAGCAAACCATTCTCTGTAATAAACAATGCAGTCGTCGACTTCCACACTCACCCACCTAGCCAACACCGCACTTCCAGCCAGAACCTCGCACGAGGGTGCCCACAAGAGCTAAGCTCAACTGTGGTTCATGCAAAAAGGACAGAGATGGTCTCCAGTCACCACGGACACGTCCACAGGAAGACATTCAAATCCACACGTTGATAAACCTGTGCTACCAGCCAGAAACCAGATGATGCATTTGTGTCCTACCTCCCCCACCCCTGTGAACAAAGCACCACGCTCCATGATCAACTCAGCACTATGGAAAGAAAACCCTTGGAGGAGAGATATGTTACCAAATGTTCTCGTAGGAACTGTGAGACACAGAGCTGGGGAGACCGGAAGTTAAGAGTGGAGAAGCCACTGCAGGACCAGAAGTAAGGGTGCAGAGTCAAGTTCAGGATACCAGGGAGAAAATACACAAGGAAATCAGGACTGGGGACTCTAGGCAGCCAGGTGCATAGGAAACAGGGTCTTCAGGTATAACACTCTGCATACACCACCAGGACACTCAGCCCCAATGAGCAGGTGAAGATGGAGTTAAGGAATGAAGTCAGACTTGCCTAGCACTATTTCCCTAACTGTGTATTCAATTAAAATGCAGACACACAGGAAGAAATAGTGACTACACTTGAAGATGAAGGCGTTGACAAACTGCAGAACTTGATACGGTCTATGGTGGTTGGGACGGTATATGGGACCTGTCATTTTTGGAAGGTTAATTCATCCAGCCACCAATTACTGGCTATAATGATGACCTGGGAAAGAAAGTATAGAATCACTAATGAATGATTGTGAAATGGTCAGGTGTCTTATCAAGTGCATAATAGCAGTATTTTCAAGCTAGCTTGGTACACAATTACCTGCTTTACTGATTTTGAGTGTACAGCTTTATAGTAACTGTTGTTGTCATTTCTTGAAAAGAAAAAAAAATCTAGGTCCCCAAAAGAAAAAAAATAGTATGAAATTTAAAGGCTGCGTGCTGGTGGTTCATGCCTGTAATCCTAGCTACTCAGGAGGTTTAGATCTAAAGACTGGGATTCAAAGCTAGCCTGAGCAGCAAAGTCTGTGACTCTTATCTCCCAAGTAACCGGCAAAAAAAGCTGGAAGTAAAGGTGTGGCTCAAAGGGGTACAGAATCAGTCTTGAGTGAAAAAGCCAAGCAAGAGTACAAGACCATGAACTCAAGCCTTAGCACCAAAAAAACAAAACAAACAACAAAAAAAAAACCTCAAAAGAAATTTGACCTTCTAACTCCATTAATTTCTTAGTTTCCAGAATATAGGTACTCAAATTTCCCCCCAGTAGCAAACATCTAACTGTAGGACAGAGTATATTCCTTAGAGGAACTTTTTAAAGTATAATGTCCTAGCTTTAACTTCCTGTTCAGTTGATTTTATAATGAAGAAGAAAGAAACTATGAAATCAAGCATAAAATATACTGCAGATTATTCAAGGGAAGAGAGTATCTCAGCCAGCTCACTGTTAGACATCCACAGTTGTCACTTTTGAACTTTTTATTTATTTTAGTTATTTATTTTTGGTCACGGGGCTTGAACTCTGGGCCTGGGCGCTGTCCCTCAGCTCTTCAGTTCAAGGCTAGTGCTCTACCACTTGAGCCACAGCACCACTTCCGGCTTTTTCTGCCTATGTGGTGCTGAGGAATCAAACCCAGGGCCTCAGGCATGCAAGGCAAGCCCTCTACCACTGAGCCACCTTCTCAGCTCCACTTTTGAACTTTTTACAGTGACCCTTATACTCAGCCTCAATGCAGGCTTTGACCTATCTCCTCATTGCTAACTGTATGCAGTGAAGCTAAATGCCTTATTTAGTGACCTTGCAACACATGGCTCTACTTTGTATCTCTCATCTGAACATTCCCAGACTTACTCAACTGTATCTGCTTTGGCCATGCACATTCATGGCTAAAATATGCTGAGCAAAACCACAAAATAACAAGGAAATCCAAACTACGTGCTCAAACAGATTAAGTGACTGATGGGGTCTTTGCTAAGATTTCTATCTATAATGCCTCATGTCTTTCAAACAACCTTTCTTCTCCATCAGTGAGAAGTAAGCGCTTCTTTTGAGAGTTACAAATCCCCAACCTCATGGTTATTTTGTCTGTGCATGCTATATGTGAGAGTGATCTTGAACTAGTGGTGTACGTGTGTGTGTGTGTGTATGTGTGTGTGTGTGTGATAGAATACTTTTCTTTGAGCTTGAAATAGATGACACAAGCCAGCATTTCAAACACGTGTGGAGTCAGTGTCCTGTTGGCTATTTTTATTCTGTGTTGCTGTGATGTTTTATCATGGTTGTAGTCAAGGCGGGACTCACAAAACCATACACTTCCCCGCTTCCTGCACTTAATAGATAAGATGCGGAAGAACACAGGGCCGAATTCACAGCACCATGAGAAGTGTGACTGGCCATCAACTGGGTGGGAATTAAAAGGGAAAAAGTGGGTGATCAATAAACCTTGAGAGGGAGCAAAATGGAATTTAAATTGGCAAGGAAAAACTACTCTAGACAGGTGATCAGGAAGCGTGAAGACAAATGAGACAGACAAAAATAAGTCAACGGAAACAGTCTGGCTCTCAACAGCCATGATCATGGGACCAATACAATCAAAAGTGTATACAGTGTGTGGCTGTAATATGTCAGAGAAGAAATTGGGGGAGAGAGGCAGGAAGGAGAGGGAAATGAGAGAAGACTCCTCTATGTCTCTCAACTCTTCCCTGTCTCCGGAGGCCTGCCAAATCATTCTTTTTACTCACAGAAACCAGTGGGCTTTGTTTGGTCTTCCCACCCTTGACTTCTATCCTGAAAATTCTCCAGGCAGTAAACTGAGGCAAAAGTTAGATTTGCCTCCTTTATTTTCTGACATGCCTGAAATTATCAGGCTGGTGATGATGAAGATGATGAATAAGAGTCAGAGGGTGATGACATCACACTTGATCCCTTGAAGACAGGTCAGTGAGCACCTTAGACAAGGTTTATGAGAAATAGTCTCTTCCCTCTGAGAACAAACCTTTATGGGTCTAATCATGGGGCTTGAACTTTGGGCCTGGGCACTGAGCTCTTCAGCTCAAGGTGAGTGCTCTACCACGTGAGCCACAGCACCACATCCAATTTTCTGGTGGTTTATTGGACATAAGAGTCTCATGGACTTTCCTGCCTGGGCTGGCTTTGAACTGTGACCCTCAGATCTCAGCCTCCTGAGTGGTTAGGATTACAGGTGTGAGCCACTGGTGCCCAGCAGCAGCTAAATTTGTCTACATCTTTGCTTCTATACCAAGTTGTGTCTTCTCACAAGTCATAATGATTTTTAAAGTGCTAGCGACCCATTCCTCTCATTTTAGCCAATCTTTTGACTACCAGCCAGGCACATTTCAGTTCTCAGGAATACCAGGCAAAACCTTCCAGGTCATGATGCTGCTTTTCATGCTCTTTGAAATGTACCAAGAATGTAGTTTTTCTCCCTCAAGATACTAGGACATGATCTTGTTGTCATTTAGGTATTTTGGGAAGGAATTTAGGTATTTTGGGAATTTAGGTATTTTGGGAAGGAATCTACTGATATGAAGTCATTGAACAATTTCTCCTTCCCAGGTGACTGGCACAAAATCAGAGACAGGACTCAAAGTACCCTTCTGCATTGTTCATTTAGAGGCAGAACCAGGGTGTAAATAAATACATCACTCATGGGTTTCTATCCATTCCTGTCCTCAGATGAGTAACGCATATCTATTAGTTAGATTGTGCGTTTCTTCATCTACCATACAGCTCAGTGGCTCCCACTATACCACAGGGCCCCATGGTTTCCTGGGCCACTGGAGGAATAAACAAAGTCAGCAGTGCAAAGTCTTGTTCAGATAAGATCCATATTTTTATTTGTCCATTTGTCTTCATGCAAGCTTTAGTTGATAGTGTCTCTGTTTACCTAATATATCCTATATTCTTCATAGTGGAATTTCAAACTTGAGTCTCTACAGCTTCATGTAAGGGTTTTTTTTTGTTGTTTTTTGTTTGTTTTTTTTTATATATCCTGGGAAGTCAGGTGATCCGAACAAGGACAAAAGCAATCAGTGCCTAATGCTGATGGCTCACACCTATCATCCTAGCTACTCAGGAGGCTGAGATCTGAGGATGGCAGTTCAGAGCCAGCCAGGGCAAAAACATCCATGAGACTCTTATCTCCAACTAACCACCATAAAGCCAGAAATGGTGTTTTGGCACAAGTGATAGAATGCTAACCTTGGAGGAAAACAAGCT